GTACCCTCGCATACACCTTACCCCTGTACCTTTCTCATTCGTTTAATTTAGCTCTCTCATCGCTGGGAGCGTATCAGTAAGTCTGTTTCCGACGCAAAAATTTGGGTACACGGCCGTTGACCGCGTGTAGGGCCACACACCCAATTTATTCTGTTTTTCCTCTTCACGTCAGCAGTCCGACACGTTTCTACTCACGGATGACCTGACCCGGAGTCGAACCCAGATTTTCTGCAGCAAACCTTTAGCGGAAGGAGATGAAAGGGGAAGCAGTTGCACGGCCTCGTGCTATCAGGTCTTCCTACCTCACTGCCACAGTAACCTCAGCCTGTGTCTGAATCACAATGAGTGAGTGAGGCGGGGATATCCCACCGAATTGATGAGTTGTCGACACTTTAAATTGAATAACCAAATCCAAAGAGAGTTAGCTCGGTCTGTGTGTGTGGGTGTGTGGGTGGAAGTAGATGAACACAAAAACAGATTCGACTATGTCGTACAACCTGGCCCGGAATCGAACCGGGATCATCTGCAGCCACAATTGCAGTTACCAATCCATCAAGGGGAGGCAGATGCACGGCGTTGTGCTACCAGGTTCTAAATCAAAACCCTCGTACGCTTATTCATGGGATAGGATAGGATCTCAGGGTAGGCCAGCGAAAAAAGACGAGACTGCACTTAGCACTGGGCTGTGCACGTAAATAACACGGAGAAAGCTAGCATGTGCTTACCCTAACCTGAAATGCGCGAGGCAGTGTCGCTCCAATTAATCCTAGATGTGCGAACGAAAAAACAAAAGATCGGGGAAGTGATCGAAAGAAAAAAAAACTTTACGATAACGATGCTCGCCCATGACCTGACCCGGAGTCGAACCGAGATTTTCTGCGGCTAACATTCGATAAGGCTGTGCGAAGGGAAGCAGACACACTGTGTTGTGTTATCAGGTTTTCCTACCTCAGCCTCTGTCTGAATTATAATGAGTGATTGAGGCGGGGATATCCCACCGAATAGGTGAGTCGTCGACGCTTTAAATTGAATAACCAAATCAAAAGCGAGTTAGCTCGGTCGGTGTGTATGTGTGTGTGGGTTGAAGTAGATGAACCAGGAATAGTTGAACAAGAAAATAAGCATTGTCACACCCGCCACGACCTGGCCCGGATTCGAACCGGGATCATCTGCGGCCGCATATTATAGATGTATTTGGGAAAGAGGGCAGATGCACGGCGTTGTGCTACCAGGTTCGAAATTAAAGCCCTTGTAAGCTTATTCGTTGGATAGGATAGGATCTCGGGGGAGTGTAAAGGGATGGGATTGAGCTCAGCAGTGCTTGGCTGTAGATGAGTATGGAGAAAGCGAGAATGTCCTCACCCTAATTTGGAATGTGTAAGGCAGTGTCATTCCGAATCATCTTAGATGTACAGGCGGGAAAAAGATCGGGGAGGTAATCAAAAACAATTTGAACCAGTTGTGATGACCCGACCCGGAATCGAACCGGGATCTTCTGCCGTCAAACTTTCTGATGACGCAAACGAGGCAGAGGCACTACCTTGTGCTATCAGGTCTTCAACTGGCTTAGCATTGTGTCTTGATGATGATGATGCTGAGCGGTGTAGAGTGCAATTGGCATGTGTTCAGTGTTTACTGAATTGCAAGATGAAAAAGCTGAATTAAACCAAGAAGGGGGAGAACGGACAACGACCAACCCCGGAGTCAAAATTGCATTGTCCGCAGTTGCTGTCAAGCAGCAAGTGCAACTCGTAACAGCCTTACTCAAACCAGAAATACAATGGAAGGAAATCTGAAGGGAAAAAATGCTAGACTGGATGCACAAATAGTATGACCCCACCCAGAGTCGAAGAAAAAGATCAAAGACGTACTCGAACCCCACGCACGACCCGACCCGGAGTCGAACCGGGATTATCTGCAGCTAACATTCGATAACACCGTGTGAAGGGAAGCAGATGCACGGCATTGTGCTACCAGGTCTGTTGAATACCGAGTATTTGCTGGATAGATTAGAATGATCTTGGGGAACTCAGAGAGGTAGTACTCGAACAAAAAATATAAGGTAAATACGCGTTCATGACCTGACCCGGAGTCGAACTTTTCTGCAACTATTATCTGAAGGGCACATGAAGGGAAGCAGATGCACGGCCCTGTGCTATCAGGTCTTCCTCCCTGTGTCTGAATTACAATGAGTGATGTGATTGAGGCGGGGGGTTGATTGGGGTTTTAAATCAAATTAACGAATCAAATCAAAGAGATTCAGCTCGGTCTGTGTGGACCAGGAGTAATTGAACAAAAAAACAATCCTTCTAATTCGCCACGACCTGGCCCGGATTCGAACCGGGATCATCTGCGGCCACAAATTGTCGACATCATCTTGGGGAATGGGGGCAGATGCACGGCGTTGTGCTACCAGGTTCGAAATTAATACTCTAGTAAGCTTATTCGTTGGATAGGATAGGATCTCGGGGAGGTGAAAAACGATGAGACTGCAGTTAGTACTGGGCTGTGGATAATAAATAGAGAGAAAGAGAGCATGTGCTTACCCTGATTTGAAATGCACTCCGATCCCTAGAATTGTGAACAAAAGAAAATCGGGAGAGAATCAAAAAGAAAATAAGCTCTCTCACAGCATACTCATGACCCGACCCGGAGTCGAACCGGGAACTTCTGCCGTCAAGATTCTGATAGCCCAAACGAAGCAGAGGCACTACATTGTGCTATCGGGTCTTCAACTGGCCTAGCGTTGTGTCTTGATGAAACTGCGAAGGGGTGTGTGGAGCTTGGGGGAAATCAGTGTGTGTGTTCAGCAAATATTTGAATGCAAGATGAAGTTACTGAAATCAATGGAGAAGGGGAGAATGGACAACAAATGGCGCTTGATTGCCTACCCCGGATGCGGAGAAAAATTGGCATTCTCTGCACTGTAAACTGCCCACTTCGATTCAAAATAGAGCAAGTCAAACCAGAAATAAAATGGAGGGAAACTTGCAGGGAATAAACACTAGACGCGATGTACTTGAAACAGCATGATGCGACCCAGAGTCGACAAAGAGGATTTCACTGTTCTGAGATGCTTGAACAAAAAAGAATCAAATGACCTACAAGCACAACCTGACCCGGAGTCGAACCGGGATTATCTGCAGCTATTCTTCGAACGAAACACAAAGGGGAAGGGGAAGCAGATGCACGGCATTGTGCTACCAGGTCTGTTGAATACCGAGTATATATTATGAAAGATCTTGGATGGAGGTAGTACTCGAACAACAAAATTTATGAAACCCCGCGCACGACCTGACCCGGAGTCGAACCGAGATTTTCTGCAAACTTCCAGAAGGACATATAAAGGGAAGCAGATGCATGGCAATGTGCTATCAGGTCTTCCTGCCTCAGTCTGTGTCTGAATCACCCTGAGTACTGCGATTGAGGCGGGAGGTTGACCCGGCTGGGGCTCTGAGATTAGATAACCAAAACAGAAGAGAGTTAGCTTGGTCTGTATGTGGAAGAAGTGCATATAGACGAACCAGGAGTATGTAGTCGAACATAAAAACAAGCCTTGTATTATTCGTCACGACCTGGCCCGGAATCGAACCGGGATCATCTGCAGCCACAGATCTGGACGTTTTTGGTAAGGGGGGCAGATACGCGGCGTTGTGCTACCAGGTTCAAAATTTTGTAAACTTATTTGTTGGATAGGATAGGAGTCCGGGGGAGGGGGAAAAGGATGAGACTGCCCTAAGTAATCGGATGTAAATAAGTACGGAGAAAGCGAACATGTGCTTACCTTGATTTAAAATGTGGAAGGCGGCGTCGCTCCTACTCTTCATAGATGTGCGAACAAAAAAAAGATCGGGGAAGTAACCAAAAGAAAATAAACTTTACAATAACGATGCTTGCCCATGACCTGACCCGGAGTCGGACCGGGATCGTCTGCTGCTGGAGACCTGGAGATCAGTTCAAACGAAGCAGATGCACTGCATTGTGCTATCGAGTCTTTAACCGGCTTAGCATTGCGTCTTGATGAGACTGCGGGAAAAATCAGCATCTTGAGCGGGGTTCAGAGTATTATCTGCAGTTTCTCACTGTCAAGCGGCACCTGCAACTCGTAATAGCCTAGATCAAACCAGAAATAAAATGGAGGGAAACTTGCAGGGAATAAACACTAGACGCGATGTACTTGAAACAGCATGATCCGACCCAGGGTCGAAGGAAAACATCACAGCCGTACTCGAAGAAAAAAATTCTAGGATCCCTGTGTACTGCCTGACCCGGAGTCGAACCGAGATTATCCGCAGCTAATCTTTGCAAAGGGGAAGCAGATGCACGGCATTGTGCTACCAGGACTGTTGAACCCCTCAGTATTTCCCGGATAGATTAGAATGATCTTGGATGGTGGAGCTCAGAGAGGTAATATTCGAACGATGAAAAAATTCGTACGACCTGACCCGGAGTCGAACCGAGATTTTCTGCAAACTTCCGGAAGGACATATAAAGGGAAGCAGTTGCACGGCCTCGTGCTATCAGGTCTTTCTACCTGTGTTTGAATGAGTGATTGAGGCGGAGGATTGATTCGGCTCGAGTTTTTGAATTGAATGACCAAAACAGAAGAGAGTTAGCTCGGTCTGTAGACGGACCAGGAGTAGTTGAACAAAAAAACAAGCACTGTAACTCACCACGACCTGGCCCGGAGTCGAACCGGGATCATCTGCGGCCACTAATGTGGGGCATTAGAGGGGGCAGATACACGGTGTTGTGCTACCAGGTTTCATATTACAACTCCAGCATTCGTTGGATAGGATAGGATCCCCGAGTCGAGGGACGTGGAAAGGGATAAGATAGCACTCAGTACTCGGCTCTAGATAAGGATGGAGAATGCGAGGATTCACCTTAATTTGAAATTCACGAGGCAGCGTCGTTCCGATTCCTCTTGGATGGGCAAACAGAAAGAAGATCGGGAGAGAATCAAAAAGAATTTGAATCCTATTCAAGTTGAAACAACATGACCCGACCCGGAATCGAACCAGGATTGTCTGCCATCTTAGCGTTTTGCACATCCTCAAACAAGGCAGAGGCACTGCGTTGTGCTATCAGGTCTTCGACCAGCTTAGAGCTGTTTCTCGATGATGATGAGACTGCAGAGTGGTGTAGAGGGCTTTGGGAAATTTGGTGTCTCCAGCGATTATTTGAATGCAAGATGAAAAGGCTGAGATGAATAGAGAAGGGGTGAGTGGATGGTGACATACCCCAGAGTCACTGGTATTGTTTGCAGATGCTGGCTGCCAACGGCAACTCGTAATAGCCCTACTCAAACCAGAAATAATACAGAGGGAAACTTGAAGGGAAAAATGCCTGACTGGAAGTGAAAACAGCATGACCCGACCCAGAGTCGAAGAAAAAGATTGCAGACATACTCAAACAAGAAACATTCTTATACACACGAATCCACGACCTGACCCGGAGTCGAACCAGGATCATCTGCGGCCACGAATTTGGTGCATTTTCCGCCAAAGGGGGCAGATGCACGGCATCGTGCTATCAGGTCTTCCTCTCTGTGTCTAAATTACAATGAGTGATGTGATTGAGGCGGGGGGTTGATTTGGCTGGAGTTTTTACAGTAAATTATGTAAATGACCAAATCAAAAAAAAAAAAAAAGAGAGATTCAGCTAGAGTCAGGAGTAGACAAACGAATCCAAAAACAGATTCGACTATGTCGTAAAACCTGGCCCGGAATCGAACCGGAATCATCTGCGGCCACAGATCTGGACGTTTTCGGTAAGGGGGGCAGATGCACGGCGTTGTGCTACCAGGTTCGAAATCAAGATCTTCGTAAGCTTATTCGTTTGATAGGATAGGATCTCGGGGAGGCGAAAAAGGATAAGATAGCACTCAGTACTCGGATGTAAATAAGTACGTACGGAGAAAGAGAGCATGTGCTTACCCTGGACCTGGTTTAAAATGTGGAAGGCGGCGTCGCTCCAACTCTTCATAGATGTGCGAACAAAAAAACAAAAGATCGGGGAAATAATCAAAAGAAAAGAAACTTTACATTGACGCTCGCGCATGACCTGACCCAGAGTCGAACCGAGCGTTTCTGCAGCAATTTCTCCAAGTAAATATGAAGGGGAAGCGGATGCACGGCATTGTGCTATCAGTCAGGTCTCTCTGCGTATGCGGAACCAGGAGTAGACGAAGAAAAACATCACGGACATGCTTTCCAGAAAAAAATAAAGATACATGCATGCAACCCGTCCACACCTTACCCGGAGTCGAACGGAGATTTTCTGCAGCTATTCGTGAAAAGACATATGAAGGGAAGCAGATGCACGGCCTCGTGCTATCAAGTCTTCCTACGGCAGCCTGTGTCTGAATTATAATGAGTGATTGAGGTAGGGTTGATTCGGCTGGGGCTTTGAGATTAAATTAACGAACCAAATGAAAAGAGATTCAGCCGGTCTGTGTGGGTAGGTGGAAGTAGATGAACGAGTAGTAGTTGAACCCAAAAAAAAAAAAGCTATAGCAACATCTGCACGACCTGGCCCGGAATCGAACCGGGATCATCTGCGGTCATAATCGCTACGTGGACTCCCTTAACGGGAGGCAGATGCACGATGTTGTGCTACCAGGTTCGAAATTAAGACCCTCGAAAGCTCATTCGTTCGATAAGATCTCGGGGAGGTGAAAAAGGATGAGACTGCACTTAGTACTGGTAATCCCAAAAAATTTGAACCTGTCGTGATGACCCGACCCGGACTCGAACCGGGATCCTCCGCTTTCACATGCGTCGATCGCCGCTGCAACGATAGCGGATGCACGGCATTGTGCTATCAGGTCTTGTTCCCTCTCCTCTGAACTAGTATAGGATGTCTAGCCATAAGAGAGGTCATTCCATTCCATTGAACTTGCAAATGAAAGTGAAGTGTTCAAGGCAAATGAACTTCTCGAGAAAAATATTATTCGACGCTTATCGCCCCTCCGTGAACCGATCCAGTTTTTGACACGGTGGAACTGATGCAAATAGGCATCGCACAAAAAAAAAGGTACAGAAATCAAGGTTAGGACCTGACCCGGACTCGAACCGGGATCCTCCGCTTCAACATCTGATGAAGTAGACCTACAATGTCAGCGGATGCACGACCATGTGCTACCAGGTCTCTCAACCTCTCCTCCAAACCAGCATAGGACATATCATTCAGACGTCGCTCGTGCAAATGAAGTGGCCGACAAAATCATCACGCTCACCGATCGAGGGTGCATCCGGATCCGAATCCAAATATCGCACAAAAATAATTGGATATTCGATTCAGAACCCGACCCGCACTGCTCTCTGAGTCGAAATCAGAAGATGCGAAATCGAAAATCGAAACTCGGAATCGGTACATACAATTACACGCTACGCTCGACTCGACTCGACTAGGAACTTTCTGTTCTTTACAAACACCTTTCTCCTTTCTCCTTCCCCTCCTTCCCTCCCTCACTCGCCACTTTCCCCCAACTCCTACAGACTCAAGCGAAACCCTAAGGCAACCCCAAAACAACCTCCATAAACCCCTCATTTCGAGCAACAACTTTTTAGTTCAACTGTCAACATCGGTTGGGTGCTTGGATTTAAAAGGCCGTTCACTGAACCTTGAAATCACCGCAAAGTCTAGACGTCCCGAACCAAGAAAAAAAAACTCACGGCGCCCGCACTGCTCTTGAATTTACTCCTCCTAGAGTTCGTAGTGAGATGGTAGAACTCCGATCAGTCGGAAAGGTTAAGTGGCGGGATGCCGACAGTGTTGCCGACACCTGGAGGCGTCTCTCTCGAAATTTCCAACGTCAAATTCTGGCGGAGAAATTGTTGTCTGAGCATGCTCTCTGGGGCTGAGGACTGTGTTCAGGTCTAAATGAAAGTAAAAAATATATAAAATAAAATAAAAGGACAACATAGCAAATGTTATGAACAAATATTCGAACTCTACTTTGCGGCATACAAGCGCCCCTTTCGCCTTTTTTTCTCGTGTTCGTACAGCCTTTTTTGATTCTGAAGGTTCATCGACGGGTTGTAAAAGGCGAAGAAACAGGAGAGAAATTGAAATTTTATGTTTTGGACATCAAAACTACTGTAAAAAATCCTCTTGGTTTACTGGGCTCGAATTCACCGCCGCTTTACGCCGACCAACGTGTGGCCGACAAATCCAACTTTCCGCCATGACATCTCACCTTGAAAGGAAAATTCCAGAATCTCCACAGTGATATGTTTTTCTCATTTCAGGATGTATGTAGCAGCTTGAAGTAGGCAAAGATACTCGAATATGCTCAGGAATGTGTTCCATCTTCTCTCTCATCCACGACATAATGATACCGCGCGATAATGATACCGCGCGGTGGCGCGCGCCGCCGAAGTCGGGAGCCGAATAAGGTCCAAATGGGGATAGATCTTTGATGGGAGTTCTACCCATCGACTCAACACTGCTCCTCCTAGCAATGCCTTGGACTGACGCGGACCTGACAAGCACAGCATGCTCCGCATGACGTGGCCTTACCTAATCGTCGGCTGTACTCGCCTATAACTTGACTCTCGCCTCCACCTCCTCGCCCACAAATCCAACGAAATAATCTCATGTCCTACGGTGGTGTGCGTTCTCCCATTCTTTCATTCCATTCGTCTGTCACTAACGCACGGACCACAGCAACAACAATACGGTGCCCCGCCCGGCGCTCCCCCAGGCGGAGGTGGCTACGGTGCGCCCCCGCCCCAGCATCACGGCGGCGGCGGGTACGGCCCTCCCCCCGGCGCGCCCCCCGGCCGCGGTATGCCTTCTCCTTTCATCTCCCTTCCTCTGCTGACGGACACAGGCGGCGGGTACGGCGGCGCCCCCCCTCCCGGCGGCCCCCCCGCATACGGCGGTGCCGGCGGCGGCTACGGCGCCCCACCCCCGGCGGCCCCCCCGGCGGCGGCGGCTACGGCGGCGGCTTCGCGCCCCCCGGCGCGCGGGGGCCCCCGCCTGATGCCGATCCCCAGTGCGTCTTCCGCTTCCCTCCCTCCCGCTGACTGTGGAACTGATGTATCGGCGATTGTAGGCTGTGGAACTGGTTCTCCTCGGTAGACACGGACAGATCGGGCTCGATCTCCGCGACGGAGCTCGGTGCGCCTCCTCCTTGCGCTCTCTTCATTGTGCTGGTGATGCTGATGCTCATGGCCCGTAGAGCGCGCGCTGATTAACGGCGATTGGACGCGTGCGTGTTTCCTTCCTCCCTCAACTTGTTCTTGTGCTGAGTCGTATGCAGCCTTCGACCTCGACACCGTCAAGCTGCTCATGGGGATCTTCGTGCGTCGCCCCCCTCCCTCTCTCACTCTGCTTTCTCCCTTCCTCCTTACTAACTACGGTCTCCGCACGCAGGATACAGACCGCAGCGGGACGATCGGGTTCAACGAGGTGCGTCCTGTCTCCTCTTGTCTCCCCCTCCTCCTCCCATCTTCCCTTCCATTCCCCCCCTCTCGCTCTCCCCTATCACTATATAATTAATGATAACAACGATACTAATAACCCCCAGTTCGCCGGCCTCTGGAAATACATCCAAGACTGGCAGGGCGTCTTCCGCCACTTTGACCGCGACCGCTCCGGCACGATCGACGGCGCCGAGCTGCGCGATGCGCTCGCAAGGTTTGGGTTCAATTTGAGTCCGAGGTTGGTGGGGTTGGTGGAGCGGAAGTATGGTGCGTTGGGTTTCTTGTTGGCGTTCTTTCTCCGTTTTCCTTTTCCTTCTTCGCTGGACTTCGCTGGACTTCGCTGGACTTCGCTGCCCCCTGCCCCTCCCTCCCTCCTCCCTCCCTCTCCCCTTCTTTACATGCATGCATACGACCGCACTCACAGTCCTCACCCAAGCCTCCGCCGCCGGCCCCCCTTCCGCCCTTGCGCCCGGCCAGCAAGCAGGCATCTCCTTCGACCGCTTCGTCCGCGCGTGCGTCGTCGTCAAGCAACTCTCGGAGGCGTTCCAGCGGCTCGACACGGATAGAGATGGGTGGGTGCAGGTGGGGTATGAGGGGTTTATGGAGGTTGTTTTGGGGTTGCCTTAGGTGTTTGTGTTTAGTTCTCTGTGTTGTTGGGGAGAGATAAGGGAAGAGGGAGGAGGAAGGAAGGGGCGAGTGAGGAGGAGGGCGGAGGGGGGAAGGGGGTGAGGGGAAGAGGGGGAAGGGGAAGGAAGAAAGGTGTTTGTAAAGCAAAGAACAGAAAGTTCCTAGTCGAGTCGAGTCAAGCGTAGCGTAGTGTGTAATTGTATGTACCGATTCCGATTTTCGATTCCCGATTTCTCGTCTTCTGATTTCGACTCAGAGAGCAGTGCGGGTCGGGTTCTGAATCGAATATCCAATTATTTTTGTGCGATATTTGGATTCGGATCCGGATGCACCCTCGATCGGTGAGCTTGTCAGCCACTTCATTTACACGAGCGACGTCTGAATCATATGTCCTATGCTGGTTTGGAGGAGAGGTTGAGAGACCTGGTAGCACAAGGCCGTGCATCCGCTGTCATTGGGTATGACGTGGGGTAGAAGTTGAAGCGGAGGATCCTGGTTCGAGTCCGGGTCAGGCCCTAACAGGACAGCTATGTCAATGCTTTTTTTTTGGAGCGCCCCCACGAAGACTTGGGACGCGGGAGTGGAGCTGGGTGGGCGGGTAGGACTCAGAAGAAACGAGATGGGCATTGAATTGCACCAGTACCAGTTTAGTGTTTTCGACTTCAAGTTGTTCGACGTTATATTCTCGTGTCTAAAGGAGTCGCAAGTAATAAGTAAGAGGAGGAGAAGAGGAGGAGGTCGCAAGATCTGATAGCACAAGGCCGTGCATCCGCTATCATTGGGTATCTCCAGAAGTTGAGGCGGAGGATCCCGGTTCGAGTCCGGGTCGGGTCATCAGTTGACTGTTTTCCTTTTTCTCCAAGCCAAGAGTGAGGGTGGCAATGGGGAGAAAGGAGGAAGCATATTTTCTGATGATGGTGATTGTAAAGAAAAGAAAGTCCGTAGTCGAGTCAAGTCGAGCGTAGCATATGCATGTGATTGTAACCGATCTCGATTTCTCAACTGTCAGAGAACTTGAGAAGAGACTCGCGATCGGAGTACATACACAGAAAGAGAGGCATGCACGCCATGTGTTCATTTTCCTCGAGTACTTCATTTGCATGTTCAAAGTTCAACCGAGCGAGCGATCTTTCTCGTGGCTCAATATTCTATCATCTATGCTGGTTCAGAGGAGGTTGCATGGCCTGATAGCACAAAGCCGTGCGTCCGCTGTCATTGTGTGGATTCCATAGTTTGAAGCGGAGGATCCCGGTTCGAGTCCGGGTCGGGTCGCCCATTTTTTTGTGATATGTGGATCATGGATGCATCTTTCAGTTCAGTTCCATCCTCAATCGGTGAGCAGAGGCGTAATAAGCGTTGAATAATGTTTTTCTTGAGAAATTCATTTGCCTTGAGCACTTCACTTTCATTTGCAAGTTCAACTGACATCGGAGGGACCTTTCTTGTGGCTCAATATCCTATCATCTATGCTGGTTCAGAGGAGAGATTGAGAGACCTGGTTAGTGCTGGCCATAAATACGATACGCCAAAATATATTTTGAATATATTCGAATACATACGAATACAATACGGCCCCAGGACCTCCACCAGAATATGAATACAGCTGAATATGAATACAATACAATATGGATATAATACGATACGTGTCCCATCGTATTCAAATATATTTGAATACTCTGAAGTTGGCTTTTGCCGCCTTCGGGCCTCCGCCGGGACACATCGGATCAATGCAGGGCTGGAAGCCGAGTCTGACCACCGCTGGTCCGGCCTCGGCTTCAATCAATCAATCAGGTGGTGTGATCAAAAGTTGTGATCCGCGGTTTGAAACACACTGACTGTCGATAGTGGCTGCCTGCTGGTCCCCAAAGAACCAATTCATACATTAGGAGGGGGGTGCAAGGACCTTCCAAAGTTTTGGCCCAGTGTGAGCCTCCTTTTCTCTGACTGCAGGTGGCTCAGAATATATTTGAATATATTCATATTGTATTCATATTCAGGCCATTGAATATGAATACGATACGCTAAGAATACGATACGGGCCCGCGGGGGTGAATACGATATGAATATGAATACGATACGCCATTTGCCGTATCGTATTCATATTCGGCCAGCACTAGACCTGGTACAGGCTGGTAGCACAAGGCCGTGCATCCGCTGTCATTACATGTTTGGATTCGATGTATGTTGAAGCGGAGGATCCCGGTTCGAGTCCGGATCGGGTCTTATTTGGCTGCGAGGGTCGCACATTTGTTTTGTGCGATGCTTGGGTGCATGTTTCAGTTCTACCTTCGATCGGTTAGAGCGAGAGTGAAGATAAGAGTTGGGGGGAAGAGGGCGAAGGGGGGGAGAGGAAGGGGAGGCAAGGGAAGTGGGGAGGGGGAGAAATGGAGAAATGGAGAAAGGTGTTTGTAAAGCAAGAAACAGAAAGTTCCTAGTTGAGTCAAGTCGAGCGTAACGTAGCGTGTAATTGTAGCCGATTCCGACGATGTCGAAGTTCGCCGTTAGCCCTCCCAGTTACGCTGCTTTGCCTCATGGCTGCAGTTGTCCTCGGAGCAGTCTATATGAACTGTTCCTGTCGAGACAGATGTGTCGTAGAATTGGAATTTAAAAGAAAAAGAAAAATTCTACATCCACTTCAGTGGCGAGCATCCAGCTCAGTTTCGGGCTCTGCCCTTCGTCCCACCTCCTATTATGCTGTACGAATGGATGTCTTCAATATAGACTACCCTTTGATCCCCCAGCGACGAGTGTCGGCGCTCTCTGGCCATCGTCTACCTTTTGCGCGCTCCTCCCGCCTTTCCTGGGTTAGGGTTAGCTCATTTGTCAGCATATCTGATCTTGCTACAAGTCCTCAGTGTCACTGTGCCGTTCTCTCATCCATGTACCGCTCTGCCTCTCTGCCTCGTGATTGTGTACTCCTGGAACGCTAATACCTGATTTTGTCCACATGGGCCTTCTCTTTACAGCCCTTTGCGGAACATAGGGCGCGGCCATTTTTTTTTTCCTTTTTGAGATATTTTCGATATTTTGGACCATTTCCCTCACTGCAGACTCAATTCCCAATGTATCGCTCTGGAAACTATATGAGCGGAATCGCAATGGAATTCCGCGTTTCCTCTCGTGCTTCGTTTATTTTTATTCAACCTGTAAAATATGTAGTATAAAATTATGACTCATTCAAGCAGATCTCCTCCCACAAGGGGAGATGTGGATACGGTGCTCCAGGCTGTGATTACAGCAGACATAGGCACATTTCAGAGGTCGCCTCGTCGCTGTATTTGGTTTTTTGTGCCTCTGCTGCCCAAACGATGCAATTGAATGTGAAGATATTAGTGTCTACTTAAGTACGATGTTTCTGCATGCTATATTGACCGGGTACTCAGAGGTTTGTTCTGGGCCCCCTATGAGGTCTTTAGAACAAACCCCACGACTCAGATTCTGAGTAAAGTCCCTCACTATGGAACGCGACGCGCCTCAATGTGACATCAGTTACGGATAACTGCACCACGTGACTGTTATTCATAAGGCCCTCCGGGCACCCCTGGTACCTCTTGGGACAGGATGCACACTATTATTTGCATAGCTAATTGTCGTAGCGACGGGAAAGTTTGGTTCGGTTTGGTCGAAGTTCAGAGTCCTTTTTCCTGAATGCTCAACTTGAACCTTTGTTCAGGTTCAGGAATTTGTTCCTGAACTCATGGACTAAAGTTCAGGTTCGGTTCATTTGTCCCTTACCTTTGAAGCTGCTCGACGAACCCGGAGTAACCTCGTTCGAAGGGGATATACAAAGGGATCGAGGGCAAAGGTAATCGAATGGGAGCTCACTATATGCGCCAAGGTCATCCAACCCAGTTCATGCCTTCTATTTTTAGAGATCATTCAGTACATAACACTTCACAGCTGCATCGATTCTTCGCGCCTATATCAACGGTGCAAGCGCAGATTTCATTGTTTGACGAACTTCAGCACGTCAAGCTGATGGCTACGGGGAACCCATTGCACTCAAGAAATTCGTTCGAGACGGTAATCTTAATGTCATGAATGTGGTGGATATGGATGGCTCACAGGGTCATCGGCTTCTGATGCTCGGTCATGAAGTACCATGATCCCAAGTACAGCGGCATTCCTAATGATGCCCCACCCGAGGAAGTCGCACCAGAGTTAATCAAGTAAACTATGGTGGAGACACGGGAAGGAGTAAGTTGTTCTCTCTTGTATCTCCTGAGCTCATCTTCCTTTCAAGGCCAGTCAATGACTTTGAGTCACTGGTATCAGCAGAGCAGTTCGTGCACATCATGATATCAAGGTCATGTTCTACATTGACTCGAAAGAGTCTCTGGCCGAGTTCTTGTCCTTTCTTTATGGTTTGGGTATAAAGAACATTACAGGTGAGTGTACACTTCACTCTTAGTCCTCCTTTCACTGTCATTCTATTTAGATTGGTGGAAGCATAAAGAAATACACAACTGGATCATTCCCTGTCTCATTGAATCCTAGTGCACGTATTCCCGCGGACGTGTGGGACTCAACTCCTTCAATGACGAACACCAACAAGGTGCAGTATCATTTACCAATTCTCTGACGGGGATCAAATTGCCCCCGGAGGAGGCGCTTGAAAGGCGAGTAAATTACCACAAATCCTTGTTTATTGCTGAATACTATACAGTCCACAAGGTTGACATGAACATTACATGGGAGATCCAAATGTCGCTGCAAACGGGTATCCTCTCCAACTCCAGTAATGGGAATTCTCCCCTCGCATGGCTTGCAAAAGCCAATACCAAGCTACCACCGCACGCATAACGCTTGAGAATGCCTCAACCGGTAAGCAGGTGCATTCCAAGGCCACAGCAGCCGTTTTTCTGCGAGCTCAAGTGGATGGGTAAAAACAGCGAAGCAGCAGAAAAGTACTTTTCTTGATTTGCACTGAAAATACGGTTCTAACCAAATTTTAGATGTGCCTGTGTGACCCGCCCAGTCCGAGTCGGACAATTCTTTGACACCAAGTAAATTTCTTTTATCAATCTTTTATGCTGCAAATACAAGTTCTAACGAAGTTTCAGACGCACCTGTGCAACTTGCCCACTGCGAGTCGGAAAATTCTTTGACCCCTAATACTTTTCTCTATTCTTGCTGCAATTAAGTTCTAACCAAATTTTAGACACGTCTGTACAACCCGCGCAGTGCGACTGAAGCAACCCTTTGACCACAACACAATTGGAAGAGCTGCCGATCCCATTCAATTGTGTTCACCCTCCAGTTCACCCTGGATTTTGTTTCGACTTCGACTCACTCCTGGCTAGTCTCGAGAACCCAAACCTCTCATTTTTTTGTGCCGGAGACTACTTCTAACTCACAGCTCTCGACATTTGATCCCACTACTGTACGGATGTGTAGGGAGGCGACGGTCACGGTCACGGCGCGCCCGTCGCGTCGCCGACGTCGCGGTCACGATGACCTCTGTCGCCAATGAAATACCGTGACACGTTTAAAAAAATTCTAAATAAATTGGGGGAATCTCACATTTCCTTTAAAACAGTGACAATTGACGAAAGAACTTGCAAGAATTGCTCTAAGATCCTCGAATTCACAAAAAATAGGTGAGAAATTTGGATTTTGGTTGCCCAAATTGGCGACGGTCACGGTCACCAGCTACCTCGTCGCGTCGCCTTCGACCGGGGTACTGTGTCACGGTCGTCGACGCGTTGCCTCCCTACACATCCGTACAGTATTGACCTGGCTGTCTTCAGCTTACCAGGGGGAGTCTAAAGATGCTGATGCCTTCAAATTTTAGTATGCCTACCACAGATCCCCTTGATGAATTTATGGCTATATGTGGGTTTTCAGGTATTTCATCTGACACACTGCTTCCAACTTTGCTTTGGGTGTGCCATTAACAACGAATTACCCTTGCTGCTTCCACCTCCCCCGGAGTCTCTCCTGATTTAGCGGCGCCGCCATTGAAACTTCGTGGCTGGCAGTGGTTGCTAGCATCAGCCATTGCCGAACAATGCCGATCACCCAAGGTGACAGCATGGCGTGTATCAATGACACCGGCAGGCCGGCACAGCATGGTCCCATGAATGTGCCGTGTTTCTCAACAAGAGCGGCACATACCGGCAAACGTGCCGGGGTCAATCTGGTGCCGGGCTTGAACCGGATGCACCGTGTCTACCGCGGAATGCGAGGGTGGAATCTATGTAGTGTAGGAGATTTGTCAATCCCGAAAGGCAAGTAGTACATATCAGGAGACAGGTTTCGGAGCCGCAAGC